CAGAACCTTTGGGTTTCCATAAGGCTTAGAACCCTTATGTTGATTGAGCATAGCCCTCACATTACTAGCTCCAACCAAGCATGGATGAACAGGTGCTCCTTGGAATAGGAATGGAGCATCATCATTACCATAGTTCTCTGCAGGTCCAAAAATTCCAGGATCTGTTCTATCATAGAACAAATAATCGTTATCAAAAATTTGTAAATCTCCACTTCCCATAGTATTAAACCTCAGGCCAACATCTTTTCCAATTTGTTGAATCCCATTAATCACAATGGCCTTAGTTTTTTCTTTCTCAGAACCACATCTGAAACAGATGAAACTCTCACTTGGTTCATTTTGAACTCTTTTTCCTTTTGCTTCTTTTGCCATTTTCTCCAGCCTTTCCTTGTGAAGTTTTTCTAACTCCACCAACAGAACTCTAGGATTTTTTCCTTTTTTCTTCTGATCAGTGGCCACCATATTGATTTCCACCACACTAGGAAATGGATCACTGTCAACTGCCATTACTCCTTTATCTTTTTCGGCATATTTCAACATCCCTTTCTGAATTAAATCCTGCACACAATTGCGAAATGTAACACAATTATTAGTAGAATGTCTAAAAGAATTATGCCATTTGCAATATTCCTTACCAACTCTGTCCTTTTCTTTAGGAATGTGCCTGGAGTTAAAATTAAAAACTTATTTGTTAATAACTCATCAAATAATGCATCTGCTTTAGACCAATCAAAAGAATATTGTCTATGTGATATAGCCACATTCTCTTTGGCTGGTTGTGTTGCTGGCATGCTCATAGGTTGGTTTGTCTTTCTTAATGTCTCACAAACCACAGGTTTTTTACCTATTACTTGGGCAACATCTATGTCAACTTCCATGTCAAATTCGACTTCTTGATAATAAGTGCCTAATGAGGCTGCATTTTTATGTTGTTCTTCTCTGAGAATGGCCTCATAACTAGTTGCTCTTGAAGACAACTCAAATAAATCCCTAAACATCATGCCTTCAAATTTTTTCCTAAGCTCAAAATCTAAACCATTTTGGGCTAATCTTATTACTTCTATTTCAGGCATGTATACATGACAGCGGTTTTTTGCTTTTTTAAACCAGTCGATGTACTGTTCTGCACTTTCACCTTGTCTTTGTTTAAATTTTGACAAGTCCACCATTGTCACTTCAGGTTCAGTTCTAAAGAACTGAGCATGAAACTGATTTTCCATATCTTGCCAAGTGTGAACAGAGTTCTCTGGCAAGTTAATAAACCAAGTAAATGCCGCTTTTGACAAAGAATGAGGAAAGAGCTTTAACTTTAAATTATCTTCATAACCAGGTTCTCTACACTGGAGTATGAAGCTACCCACATGTTTTATGGTTGATTGTCTTTCCTCCCCTGTAAATAAAGTAAAGTCAGGAATTTTGTAATTCCTTGGAATGGGAATTGTTTCCATCCATGGAGGGCAAAGACTCCTAAACATTGGTCTATCTAGCTTTCTCAAGCCTGGACCATACATTTCTTGTACGATGTTCATTATTTGCTATCTGTTGACTTGAGGTTCTAAGTATTGTTGTTGCTGCCTTCCTCCTTCAACCTCCGGTTGAAAGTAAGGATTAGGAGGACCAGGCCCTCTAGGCCTTGGATGCTTCATGTAGGGTACAAAATATGGTTGAGGCATGGTAAAATTCCTTGTATCTTGAGGCCTTACTTGATTAAATGGCCTATTTCTCTGTTCTACCATAGCCTGATAACCAGGCCCTTCAAATGCAAGATTATCATACATTTGTGGCCTTAGTTGCTCCCCAGGTCTCATTCCCATTTATTTACATTGTAATTAAACACTGGGTTTGTATGATATGTGGGTTGTTCCCTCTAAAACATTGGATTTATGTTCATTCCCTCCTCATATCTCTCTTGGAGTGTGGGAGGTCTATAAAATGATACGGGTTCACTTACTTTTTCATGCTGTTGAGGGGCCATTTGGGACTTAGGTTGTGCTCTTTTCCCTTGTGCTTCCTCTCCAATCTTTCTTGATTAACTGGGCTTGATGTTGGCTTTCTCAAACAAAGCCATTAAGTCATCAATCATCGCTTGGTTCTCATATGCTGACATGGAACCAATTGCTTGCTGGGTATGTAGCAAAAGAGCCCTTCTTGGATCAACTAGTGGACAACTAGATTGGCCAGTTCTTGCCACATTTTCGCCATTTCCTTGGCCTATTTCTTTCCTGGCCATTGAATGGCCATCAGTTAAGTTGTCTTGTACTCCTTCAATTCCATCGTCCAACTCTTCTTCATCTTCGACCCTTTTCTCAGGATCTTCAAAGACTTCATGTTGTTTCTTCCTAGCCATCACTCCAAATTAGACAGGTCCCACTACGCGTGCCAAAATATGTTAGCAAAAAATATGGTCTGGGCCAAATCGACAGGGGTGATTCAATAGAGAAGCCAAACTTTTACAAACAACAACAAATCAAGCAATTATAGTCTGAACGTCCTATGCCTTGACAGATTCAAGGACTTTTTTGGAGGTTGTAATGCGGAGAAACAAGAAGGAATAAACTGAAAATCAATTGTTGAACAAACAAACTTGGAATTTAATCAATAAAATTAAACTTCCAGTTCAATGTACATGACAATCGATAGAGAATTCTTAGTTATAGAAACTGAACTACAGATAAACTACTCCTAAGTAAGAACTAACTAAGTTAAGTTACTCCTAATGCTATAAAGGTTATAGATTTGTTTGAAGATCTTTTTAACTTCGAATTCCCAGCTTTTATATTGCTGGTCTTCAAACTCCACTGCTACTCTGCTGCCACGTGTCCCTTCATATAGCCAGTTACTTCCACTTCAATGCCCATGATCTCTGCAACTGCCAGCAACTGCTTCTCTGTTGCAGTTTTTCTCCTTCTAAGAAACATGACACGTATCCTATATGCCTTTCATGCTAACTTTATGGCTTGACGCCTGGGCCATGTTTGGCCACATTCCACTTCATTAACTGCAACTGCCACGTCTGTCTCTTTGACTATTTCCTTTATGTCACTTGCTCTGTATTCTAGGCTTCATATTCACTCGTTTTTCACTTGTAAACTTGTGGAAACTCGTGGTCTTTAAACCTAGCATCCGCTGGACCAATTCTCTGCATTTGTTACATACAATCGACAGAGAATATACAATTTTAGTGTCAACAAGTATATAAATTGGTATAATTTAGTTTAATCTTGCTTCTTCAATTTTTTGGCCCAATAAAGGGATCAAACTAATTAGTTAAATGTTGAATGTGCTCTGTTGAAAAATGATTTAGATATTAATTTTTATTTTAGAAATTCAATAATACTGAATTCACAACCAATGTTGTTCATATTTGTCATTCAATTTATACCAATAAGGACTTCAAACACCCATTTATTAACATGGATATAATCACTACTGATTTTCTAGTACTAAATTTCACTCATTATCACACTGTTCAAAACTGTTAAAATGATTTTTTTTTTCCTTTTCATCAAACGGCCCCTTAATTATTAAAACATTCAAAAATTTTAACCTAAAATTGCAAACGGCATACTCTAATGTTGGGTTTGATTGGGAGATTTGAGAAGAGATTTGGAAAGGCAAAGAGAAAAGGGGTGTGAAACTAGGTAAAATGTAGGTATATTTTATTCACATTTCACCTACATTTTCCAATTCATTTTCCAAATCCATCCTCAACTCCTTTGTCTGGTCTCTGTTTCAACTACAGGGGAAGAAAGTTTGAATGCAAAGGTGATATTAGGTCATTATTGACACATAGTATTATCATTCAATAACTCGCTGTGTAATTCAACATAGATATGTGACAGTTACTAAATTATTATAAAAAATGTAGTTATATCTCAAAATTGGGGTTTACTGTTCATGTAATTCCATGTACCAACGATGACGTGATATCACAATAATGAATTTTTACTAGGGAATGATCTAAATTAATTTATCGATTGAACATGCAATTTAATTTCTCAGTTTATAAAATGGTATAATCATTTTTAAGTTTGTGGGTTAGTTTTTTTTTTTATTTTTTTATTTAATAAATGCAATTAAAGCTTAATCTTATATATCCAAGCTCGTTTAAACATCAAAATCAAAGCTTCCACAGCTCGGATTAATATGTCCTATATCACAAGTTTGTATAAGTGCTCTTGGGTATTTATTGCACTACCAACTTGTTACTATGTTAGTAGATCCACTTTCTTCAAGTGGGTATTACAAACTTTGAATATTCTTTGGTCTGTAAAAGAAAAAGGGGGAAAACTATGTAACAACCTAATTTATCTAATTTGTGTAACAGCCTATTGTGTACATGTGTGAAACTATTTGAATAAAAAATCAAACATTGGCCTTGCTTGGTTTGTGTTTCTCAAAAAATTTTGGAAAAAATTCTCTACAAATAAGTTTTCAAAAGTAATCAAATCAAACTAATTTTTCGAAAATTTTTTTCCAAAACTTGTTTGGTTTATAAATTTTCCAAACAAATCTCTCTCTCATACACATCAAATCAATCACTTTTTCCAAAATTCTCTCTCAAAATAATTTTTCAAAATATCTTTTGAAAAAAAGTCAAACCAAACAAATTTTTGTACTTTTTATCCCAGAACATGTTTCTCAAATACAAACCAAACAAGGCCAAACAAACCAATCTCTCTCTGTTTTCTACTTCAGTTTGGTTCAATTTCTATGAAGATTTATATGGGTTGTGGATTCTGAATATTTGGGTTGTTGATTATATGATCATGTTTCCTAAAAAGTATAGATCTGAATATCAAAAAAGAGAGAACAAAATAATAATAATAATAATAATAATAATAAGTAGAGAAATTAATTCATGAAACGCAAAACTTATATCTTTATGATGAATGTGTACTTCCATTTCCCAGTACTGAATTTCACATTACTATAGAAGACAATTTAGACATCATTTCATTTGAACATAGAGAGAGAAAAAGTGTACACAAATCAATATATCAACCCAATGTAGAGATAATGCCAGAGGCCACCATGGCAAGACCCTGCACTTGTTTACTCTGTGTGGATACCGATACCCGTGGTAAGCCGCGGATTATAAACTGATCTCCACACGTCGTGGCAGATGTTGCAGTATTGTCTGCACCTTGTTTTGACGCTCCATAGTTGTTGGAGTCCAAAGCACTGATTGCTCCTGGTAGATAATCTGTTACAGCTCTGTTGTATTCTATAATACAATTCCCCAATAATCTGAACATTATAGGGTCCCTAGTGTCCTTAAACAGGTTTCCCACATTCTGTAATGTTTGATTGGTCTTGGTCAGGAGTTGTTGAAGACTGATGCGAGCAAGCCCTTTGACATCTGCATTCAAACTCCGAGGGTCTGAATTTAGGGATGTGACACAGAGGTTGAAGTTATTCGTGCGCTTGCATGTTTGGCGAATCAAATCTTCGCTTTTCTGTGAAGTTAAAGCGGAGGATTGGGTTGATGATGCTACAAGGATGGCATGAAGTAGAAAAAGAGAAAAACACCTTTGAGAGAAAAATGCCATTGTGTAGAGAAAATGGTATTTCAATTTCAAAACGGAGAAAAATGATATGTTGATGATGTATTTCTTGGCTTATTTTCTTATTTATAGATACAAAATGTGAGACTTTCTATCTTCATGGATTTGAATCAAAACATAGAATTTCAATGATTTGTTAATGTGCTTGAATGGATTTAAATGATTTATAAATGTAACCATAAATGTTAAGAGTAATATTAGGGATTCTAAATATTTTACCAAATATTTTATCACATTTGGTAAAATATTTAGGGTCTCTAGCATTTTTCTAAATGTTAATGTACTTGAATGGATTTAAATGATTGATGAATGTAACCATAAATGTTAAGAGTAATATAAGGGATTCTAAATATTTTACTAAATATTTTATCACATTTGGTAAAATATTTAGGGTCTCTAGCATTTTTCTAAATGTTAATGTACTTGAATGGATTTAAATGATTGATGAATGTAACCATAAATGGCTTTGAATGATTTATAAAAGGGCAAATTACATATACACCCCTCGAGGTTTGGTTAAATTACAGATACCCCCCTGAGGTTTCGGAAATTACATCCCGCCCCCTGAAGTTTGTATTTTCATAACAATTTACCCCCTGAGGTTTATATTTCATAACAAATTACCCCCTAATTTCTTATGCAAATATAGCATTCAGGGGGGAATTTGTAATTTCTCAAACCTCAGGGGGGTATTTGTAATTTAGCCAAACCTCGGGGGGTGTATATGTAATTTGCCCTTTATAAAATGGAACTGAATGGTTTGTGGACCTGTTTGTTTTGAGAGAAATGATAAGATTAGATTGGAAGTGAGTGAGGTGAGGTTCACAAACATCATGTTTATTTGAAAACTTGTCATGGAATTTAGAGTCTCAATGAAATCTCTACAAGGAGAGGATTCGCAATCCTATGGATGTAGTATTGAAATCTAATCCCATAAAATTCAAGGTAAAAACACTATTTTACCTCTTACTTTACAAAAATTGCAAAATCACATTTTATATAATAAGGAATTTTACATAATTGCATAAATCTAATCTCAAACAACAACCAACTAATATTTTACATCACCAACCTAATACTCCATCGCACCGTTTTAATAATCACATCCAAACAGAGCCTAACATTTTATGAAAAGAAATTTGGTTGGGGCTTTTGTAATTTTTGCTGGTTATAGCAACTTAAAATTGGATTTTGTTACCTAACGTGAGAATTATTTACCAAATTCATGCCAATTTCAAACAGATTTTTTAAATACAAATTATTTTGAATTAATTTATGAAAAATTTAAGAGATTTATCAAAATTTCTATTGTCAAATGTCATGTGTAAGACCCACACCATATTAATCTTATGTTAGTTTTACACCCATGTGAAATATTTGATAGAAATTTTAATCAATCTTTTAAGATCTCTAACATGACTCTTTATTTATTAAATTATGGTTGTTTTTTGGGGTTGGTATTGTCTCAAGTTTTGATTCAACAATCAATTTTTTGGGGTCTCCTATTTGATTCAACAATCAATTTTTTTTTACTGAATTTATTGTTGGAAGCGCTCTTCCCATCTCAAAGTTACCTCACAAAAGCAAACATAAATTCAAAATCAAGTAAATTATTCATCCATTCATCTCCTATTTGATTGAACAATATTTAGTTATTTATTTATTTTGTGTGTGTGTGTGAAGTAAACTAATATATAGTCTAATTTACTTTTGTAGTATATAAATTGATATAATTAATTTAAGCTTCATCAATTTTTTGGCCCGATAAAAGGATCAAACTAATTAGTTAAATGTTGAATGTGCTCAGTTGAAAAATGATTTTAGATATTAATGTGTACATAAAAAAAAAAAAAAAATTATTTTAGAAATTGAATAATACTAAATTCACAACCAATATTGTGCAATTTTGTCATTCAACTTATACCAATAAGGACTTCAAAAGCCCATTTACCATGGATATAATTACTACTAAATTTCCAATACTGAATTTCACTCATTCATCAAACTGTTCAAAACTATTAATTAGATGGTTTTTTTTTTCTTTTCTTTTTTTTCATCAAGCCGCCCCACAATTATTAAACCATTCAAAAATTTTAATGTAAAATTGCAAAAGCAATCAGCTAATTTGCTAAAGAAGACAACGAAGCACTAAAACTTGACCATGAACATATAGAGAAAAGCGTAGACAAATAATCAACCCAGTATAGAAATAATGCCAAAGGCCACCATAGAGAGGTCACGGACAGCATGGTTCTGATTGGTGACCGGTGATCCGCTCGCCCACTGCTGTTCACACAGGTTGGCATCGTCCCTAACATTAGCTGCATCTTGTTTTGATCCTCCATTGTCATTGGAATCCAATGCAATGATTGCTCCTGGTAGTTCAATTGACACAGCTTTGTTGTATCCTTCAATACAAGTTCCTAAGAATTCGTACTCTATACGATCATGGGTTTGATTAAACAGTTTTCCCACAATCTGTAATGTTTGATTAGCTTTAACCAGGACTTGTTGAAGACTGATGCGAGCAAGCCCTTTGACATCTGCTTTCAAACTCCGAGGATCTGATTCCAGAGATGCGACACAGAGTTTGAAGTTATTGGTGTGCCTGCACGTTTGGCGAATCAAATTAATGTTTTTCTGTGAAGTTGAAGCAGAGGATTGGGTTGATACTATAAGGATGGCATGAAGGAAAAAAAGACAGAACAATCTTTGAGAGATCCACATTGCCATTTTGTGTAGAGAAATGATATGTTTGTTGATGATATTATCTGGTCTATTTTCTTAGTATTTATAGATACAAAATGTGAGACCTTTCATATTCATAAAGAGTTATGATAGGGATTCCAAATAATCTTGGGGTCCATAGCATTTTCCATTTGATAATTCATTTGGAGTTTTTAGCATTTTTGTAATATTTCTTTGTAATGTGTGAATGTTGAATGTACTTGAATGAATTTGAATGATTTATGAATGAAACCGTAAATGGCCTTGAATGATTTGTGAATCTATACTGTATATTAAGCAAAAGAGAGTTTTTAACCCTCAAGGCCTGTGGGAGCTTCAATATTCCAATCTGAATTTTCTAAATTTTTTATTTAAAAAAAAAAAAAAAAACTCAGCATTTGTTGATTTAGTCAAAATGTCATGATCAGCATTTATTAACTTTTTTCAATCCACATGTCTTTCCACATGCCTGCATTTATTGATTTGGTCAAAATTCCCTGATCAGCACTTAAAATCCCCTCATACAAATAATTATAGATACAATCCGTGTATAGTTACTGCAGCACCCTTTTTAACTTATTTCATACACTATGGTTAGTGATAAGATTGTTAAATTAATTTTATAAAAAATTTTTAAAAACATAATTTATATATTAAAAAAAATCTAAAACAAATATAAATATTTATAATTATCCCGTGCATAGCACGGGTGATAGGCTAGTTTACATAAATGAAATTGAATGATTATGGATGTGCCTAAGATGGCTTTTGAATGGTTTGTTTGTGAAGGCATATATTGTAGGTAAAATACTAGGAATACTTACTAACACATCCATAAGTTGTTGTGGGTCTTATATCTCGTTTGGCAATATCATTTTTAGTTTAAAAGTCAAAAAATCACTAACAAAATCGAAAAGTCAATAACTTATAAAAAGTCAAAAAAAAAAATTTCTCTCTATTTTATGCACATCTTTTCGTAAAAAATTAACAAGTTATCCCAAATATATTAGTTTTTTTTTTTTACATCATATTTTAGTCAAAAATTATTAAAAAAACTTGTTCCCAAACAACACCGTGGGTTAATCTTATCAAAATATGTGAGTGTGGTGGTAAAATTGTTAATAAATGTGTTAATATCGCTACCATTGTTGATATTGTAAATAGATTTAAATGTTCAAATCTCTTCCATGCAACTTGGGTTCATATTGAATTCTAGAGTTATTTATCAGATCCATCCCAATTTTAAACAGATTTTCCGAGTTATTTAAACTTATTTCTCATACTCAAGTTGTTTTTTGAAATAGTATTATTAAAAACAAGCACTGTTTGATTTGATTTTCATAAACTATTTTCTGGATTTTTTTTTTGAATAAAATATAAAATAATTTGATAAAAATAAACACCAAAAAGTTAATTTTATATTTGAAGAAATTATTTCTAGTCTTCATTTTCAAAAGATAAAATTATATGAAAATGATTTTTTTTATCATATTAATTAATTTATTTTTAAAAAAAAAATTTGAAAACAAGTTCTAAAATTCAAATCAAATAGAGCCACTACTGTGAACTTCAGACATGATAGCAAAGAAATGGAAAATAAGATCAAAATAACTCATTTATTTCCAATATAACTTGGGTTTGGTAAAAGACTCATAATTCTAACTGCACCTCTTAAAAGTGATAAAAAAATCCAAACCAAAAAAATCAGTCATACTAAGAACATGAAAGGTATTGAGAGAGAGAGAGAGAGAGAGAGAGAGAGAGAGGGAAAAGGAAAAAAGAAGCTAATTCCTAAATTCATCTCCCAAAACCAACCCAGAGTGCAGCAGCCAAAACAAAATCGAATAAACAGAGACAACATTCATCCCTAATGAACAAGTAAATATTCTATTGAAATGGAACAAGTAAATATTCTATTGAAATGGAATACATTTTGACAAATTGACATGAGATTTACAACCCTTTAATATTTCCTCAGAAATCGCTGACCTCCCGGCTCCTATAATCTTTGTATTTCCCCAAAAAAACTTTAAAACATGCGTCAACTATACTACCAAACAATCTGTAAGCCAAGAGTAAAACATGAATGCAATGATAATACCACCTCATCATGCACACATGGTATCACAGCTGTATTGAATTTTTTTGGAGGAAAGAAAAACCCCAAAAGCAAGTGTCACAAAACAAAACAACCCCTATACATAAAATGGCCATTACAAGAGTCTATGAGTCTATCCCCCAGCAGTTGGGTACTCAGGATTTGCATTAGTGATCAAGCACTCAACATTGGGTGGCAGATAGTTCGAGTACCCTGGAGCTGTCTTGCAATTTAATATACCTTTGTAGTATATAAATTGGTATAATTTAGTTTAAGCTTGCTTCTTCAATTTTTTGGCCCAATAAAGGGATCAAACTAATTAGTTAAATGTTGAATGTGCTCTGTTGAAAAATGATTTTAGATATTAATTTTTTATTTTAGAAATTCAATAATACTGAATTCACAACCAATGTTGTTCATATTTGTCATTCAATTTATACCAATAAGGACTTCAATCACCCATTTATTAACATGGATATAATCACTACTGATTTTCTAGTACTAAATTTCACTCATTATCAACCTGTTCAAAACTGTTAAAATGATTTTTATTTTTTTTTCCTTTTCATCAAACCGCCCCTTAATTATTAAAACATTCAAAAAATTTAACCTAAAATTGCAAACGCCATACTCTAATGTTGGGTTTGATTGGGAGATTTGAGAAGAGATTTGGAAAGGCAAAGAGAAAATGGGTGTGAAACTAGGTAAAATGTAGGTGTATTTTATTCACATTTCACCTACATTTTCCAATTCATTTTCCAAATCCATCCTCAAATCCTTTGTCTGGTCTCTGTTTCAACTAAAGGGGAATTTCATCAAACGGCCCCTTAATTATTAAAACATTCAAAAATTTTAACCTAAAATTGCAAACGCGATATTCTAATATTGGATTTGATTGGGAGATTTGGGACGGGATTTAGATAGAAAAATAGAAAAGGTGAGTAAAACTAAGTGAAATATAAGTATATTTATTCACATTTCACATTTCACATACCTTTTCCAAATCCATCCTTAAATCTTTTAACCAAACACAGCATAAAAAGATTTGCTAAAGAAGACAATTAAGGCCTCGTTTGGGAAGTGGCTATTTTAGTAGGCTATTTGGCTTTTTGGCTATTTTAGTAGGCTATTTTAGTTTTTGTGTTTGGGAAGATGAGATGGATTTTATTTGAGTTGTTGTATTAAAAAATGTGTTGAAATGATGTTTGAAATTAAAATGACAGATTTGTCCCTAAAAAAATATTTTTTAAAATTGCTATCAAGGGGTAAAATCGTAAAATGTTTATTGATGGAACAAGTGACAAAGTTGACAGTGTTTTTTTTTTTTTTTTTTTTTTTTTTTTTTTTTTTTTGAAAAAGCTTGCAAAAGTGACTTTTTGGCTAAAAAAATTTTTTAGGCTATAATAGCCTCTTTAGGCACTTCCCAAACAGCGCCTAAGCACTAAAACTTGACCATGAACCTATAGAGAAAAAGTGTAGACAAATCAACCCAGTGTAGAAATAATGCCAAAGGTGACCATAGAGAGATCACGCACAGCAATGGTTCTGATTGGTGACCGGTGATCCGCTTCCAAACAGCTGTTCACACACGTTGGCATCGTCCCTAACATCGGACGCACCTTGTTTTGCTCCTCCATAGTTGTTGGAATCCATTGCACTGATTGCTTCTGGTAGTTCCCGTGTCACAGCTTTGTTGTATTCTTCAATACATATTCCTAAGAATTCAAGCAACAAACGGTCACTGGTTTGATTAAACAATTTTCCCACATTGTCTGTAATGTTTGATTAGCCTTAGCCAGCACTTGTTGAAGACTGATGCGAGCGAGCCCTTCCACGCCTGCATTCGAACTCCGAGGATCTGAGACTAGAGATGCGATGCGACACAGAGGTTGAAGTTATTGGTGCGCCTGCACGTCTGGCGAATCAAATTACTGTCTTTTTGTGAAGTTGAAGCAGAGGATTGGGTTGATGATGCTAGAAGGATGGCATGAAGGAAAAAAAGACAGAACAACCATTGAGAGATCCATATTGCCATTTACTGTAGAGAAAATGCCATTTAATGATATTACTTGGTCTATTTTCTTAATATTAATAGATACAAAATGTGATACTTTGGCCCGTTTGAAAACATAATACTTTAGTAATTTTTTAATTTTTTGACTAAAATATGAGATAAAAAAAAATTTAGTATGTTCAGAATGATTTTTTATGAAAATATATGCAAAAAGTAAAGAGAAAATAGAATTTTTGACTTTTTGATATAAGTTATAATTTTTTTAATAACTTTTTGATTTTTAAACTAAAATTGTTGCATGCCAAACGTTGTCTTTGTATCTTCATAAATGATGGGGTGGATTTGAATGGCCGAAGCATAATTTTTTTATTTTTTTTATTTATTTATTTTGGGATAAATTATATACACTCCTAAAATTTACTTATATTATAAATTATCTCCTGTAATTCTAGAAATTACATTATACTTTTTAACATTTCTAATTCATAACAAATTGGTCTTTTTATTAATAAATTACCAAGTTAATTAATAGGTTTTAATAATATTCAAATTTTATTTCAATTAATAATTCAAATAATTTTCTTGTTGTATAGGTGAACAGTTAGAAATTTTATTTTTTTAATTAATTCTGTTAAATAAAAAATTCTGACAGAAAGGTATTTGTAAATTTTCAAATAACATAAGACAATTCGTATTTTAAATAAATTTCAAAATATATATTTGCAATTTTTTTTATTTATTTATTTTTTTGAGATTTGTAAATGAATTTGAATGATTTGCGAATGGAACCATAATAGATAGCTTTCAATGATTTGTGAATGTACATAAACGACTTCGATTGATTTATGGATTTACTATGTGTGTAGATTACAACAATGTTAATGATTTGAATGTACATAAATAGCTTTTTATGTTTGGCTTTCTTTGCGTAATTTTTTTAGTAATTTTTTAATTTTTTTGATTAAAATGTGATGTAAAAAAATTAATATGTTTGAAATAATTTTTAAATTTTTTACAAAAAGATATGCAAAAAGTAGAAAGAAAATGAAATCTTTGACTTTTTGGTATAAATTGTTGGCTTTTTGATTTTTTTAGTGACTTTTGGCTTTTT